GAGAGAGAAAAGTAGGATATATGGAGACAGGAATATGGTACTGCAGAAAATGGGAAACTGGTTGAGACACTGAAAAAACCCATGGTGCAGGAAATGAACACAAATTTATGTGCAAAAGTAATAGTAACAATGTTGGAAAAATATCAGTAAGGATTTGGTTTTTGGGTTTTTTTTCAAAAATCAGGAGTTTTAAAAAGCTCTTAAAAAGCCAGTAGTACAATGAAGAAAGAATCTAAGCAATCAGGAAAAGCAGAAAAATGTGCTTGGACTAGATGACCCACAGAGGTCCCTTCCAACCCCTACTATTCTGTGATTCTGTGATTCTGTGCAATGTCTGGAGAACGGAAGTTGTATAAAGCAAAGAAAAAGCATTAATATAAAAATTTATTGCTGAAAACCACAGTTTTGAGGCAAGTATTTGTGAAGCTGTGCCAATGTCTGTAAATACAATTGGCTTTAAAGTGAGGAGATATTATAGAAAAGTTAAAGTATTTCATTTCGACATTTCCCTACCAAAATTATTCAATGTTTATTTCTGAGTTACAGTTTATTTTAGAGCTGAGTTTGCTTTAATTTAAAATAGAGTAAAACCGATCCAAAAGTGAGGTTTCAAAAAGTGGAGAATTAAACATTTCATTATCCCTGAAAGAGATTTTTTTTTTTTTTTTAAGCAATAAAAAAAAATGTTTCGTGATGCCCTGGAAGAATTGCAATCCTGAGTTTTTCAGTCCTCTCACTGGAGTGAGAAATCAGTTATTTGCACAGCTCTAGTTGTGTAGTGAGGCAAGCTGAAGAAAAACTTTGATTAGAGATGCAAGTGCTACAGTACTAAAATATTGGTATTTTAGATACTGTTGTGTATCTTAAGAGTTATCTGAGGAGCCATGTGGGGAACGACTGGAAAGCAAAGGGCTCACCATGCAGGATTATATCATCTGACTACAGCTCTTTTTGTTATCAGAAGGAATCTTGCTGTCTCACTGATGTTGCAAGTCTGGGTTTTAAGTTTGGCATGGAGGTGTACAAATCTTTCTCCATCTTCCAGAAGTCTTTCTGCATCTTACTCCATGTTTCCAGGGTAAGCTGATTTCTTTAGAAAGATGACACAGAAATCAGGACAGGGAGTGTCTGGAGTACTGTGTCCAGTTCTGGGCTCCCCACTTCAAGAAAGATGAGGAGCTACTGGAGAGAGTCCAGCGGGGGGCTACAAGGATGGTGAGGGGCACGGA